CGTCGTCGGCGTATACACCAAACCTTCAGTTTTATTTGTTAAATAGAAAAATCTACTGAAACCTTTGAAGTTGAACCAGTTCTTATTTTCCTTGTTTTTTTGCATGTTCAGATGGAACAGAGTCTGAGACTAGGATCACACTGGGGGGTGGGGGGTCAGATTCTTGCCCCTAAAAACAATACTTTCAATATTTAATATCATTTTTAATATCAGCAGAAGTCCTTTAATGTATTTTATGCTCATTTGGGTTTTTTAAATGTTTTTTTTACAGTACAAGTACTGACTGCAGTACTACATGTCCTTCACTGCTGCCTGGTCAGGGTACTCATTCATTTCTCTTACTGCTTATCTTCCTGGAGTTTTTCAGGATTTTCATTTGTTAAATCTGACACGTTTTTCTACCAATTGGAAGTCGTTGGAAATTTCAACATTCAATTTGACAAAACTTTTAGAATCATTTACTTCTGACTTTTTTAACAGGAATAAACCCTGATGTTTTCACATCAAAAGTAAAATAAAAAAGTATTACAATCCAAATATACAACCTCTATTTATTACACCATGGATAGTATTGGTGTGAGTATTTCTTTGAACTGTGTAAAATTGAAGATTTTCTTGAAAAAACTTATTTTTTAAAATTAATTAATTAAATTTTTGGAGAAAACAAATTTTTCCAAAAAAAAGTTCCTTAAAAGAAATTCCTTGGAAAAACTATTATAATTTTATATAATTTTATATATGTATATATATATATATATATATATACTTTATATATATAGTATATATAGTATAATTATATATAATAATTTTTTTATGAATATTTAATATTATTTTAAAATACATTTTAAATAAATATTTATTTAAAATATATATATATATATTTTCCACTTCCGACACTTATGTTTGTTGACTTTTCTGACCAGTGTTTCTGTTTGATTATTTTCCTCTTGATGACCAGACATAAGTCAACGATTATAGAATGGATTTGGATGAAATTCTGTGGATGGATGCTCATGTCGTAACTGAGTCTTTTTTCCTGTTTTATTGATGACAGTTTTCGAGAGACTGTCACCATCTGGGTCTTAGTAACCGGAGGGCCAACATCTGGCCCGGGACGCTGCACCTCCTGATGATGGTCTGCTCAGCACCCGGTTCTGCTCTTTCCCCTATTACTCTCTCCCTCTCTGGCCTGTCTTTCCTCCCTCGGTGTCCCTCCAGGGTAATTGTGGGGTAATTTATGAAGCCGGAGCAGCATGGAGCAGGCCGGTGTATGGGACAGCCTGCTGACCCAGGCCCATTCAGCTTTAGAGGAGAGGGCCCGGACCCCTTTTATCCTCTCCATAATCAGCATCTCTTCTTAGGCCCGGCCCCCCACTCCTGCCCCCCCCTGCCCTGCAGCCCTCCTCAGCATGCCATCCTCCGTGGATGCTTAAAGATGAAGGGGAAAGTTATTGGAATCTTTAGTGACTCATAAACATCCCGGGGGATTTCATACAGCCTTTGTGTCTTCCATTTGTGGCAGAGATAATGCCATTGTTTAAGGCAGTGTAAGTGAATAAATCACTGAGTGGTTTGTTCCAGTGTGAGGCCATAACAAAGGGCGACAGAAACACTTGTTCCAGGCTGATGTGGGACATTTTTACACCTCTTTCGTTACAGACACTGTTTTCTTTTTTTTTTTTTTTTTGCCACAATTTAAAATCTGTAACATTTAGCCGATCGATCTGACGCTCCTTAGATCTATGGCAGGGGTGTCCACACTTTTTTGGCTTTGGAGCAGACTGAAGTCATCTACCTACACTGAAAAGGTTAAATATATATTTTACTCTTATAAACAGAGTGTATTATATACACCAGCGTTTCCCAACCTTTTTTGAGCCACGGCACATATATATCATCAGGAAAAACCCCACGGCACACACCACCGAACAAAAATATCACAAAAAGTCAATGTAATAAAATCTAATAATCTTCTATTTGAAATGACCTCATAATTGACTAAAATCTCAGCCTGTATAGTTGAAGACAACGCTGATATACAGGCAGGAATTGAAGAAAGAAACTCACAAAGATCTTCTTCAACAGCTCTGATTATCTTTTTTTTTTGTTTTCATAGCCTTCTGCTGCCCCCTAGCAGAAGAGTTTTTAATTGTTAACAAGCAAAGACAAATTATATGCAATAAATAAACAATAGTTTTCAGCCCATTTAAGTGAAATTGGATCATTTTCCATGGCACAGTCGTCAGGAATCACTGATATATGTTCCAGACTATAAGTCGCACCAGCCAGCTAGAGTGCCCTCTAGCGGCTGTCAGTGTGAAAATAACAAACGTGAACTTATATATTTTAATATATAAGTCGCAAACCCAGCCAAAGGATGAAAAAAAACAACCAGAAAATACAGTATTAGTGGTTGTAGCTGTTTGACACAAACTAATTCAACTCTTACTGTATACGGTCACTACTACACACTATAGAAATATATCCAAACATATTTATGCATATATTTTAGATTTTTATTTTAATTGCTCATGAGTGTGCTACCAGCACTCCTTCCACGATCCACTGGTAGATCCCGATCCACTTATTGGACACCCCTGGTCTGTGGTGCATTTAAAGCGCTCTGAGATAACACATGAGCCCTATTTTAAACCACAGATTAAAGCCTAGTGTGTGTGGTTGTGTTAAGATTTGACCAGGGGTCCCGTTAAACCAAGCCCAACAGGGGGGGTGGTGGGGGGGGGGGTGATCGGGGAGGGGGATTAAAGACACACATCACAGGTTTGCTCTTCAGCTCAGTGCTTTATTGAGTCGTGTTGGTCCCTGATCGCGGCTGATCCTCCGTCACTGCAAACATATGTCTGTGATAATGCCGGTGTTTTCGGTGCAGACCCTTGAATGCACTGAAGGAGCCTGAAAGGCAGCATCTAGAGAAGAAAGTCAAACACTCTGATGGAGGGTTCAAAACCCAGGGGTTATGAGGAACCAAGGCGGGTGGCTACACTTTCACTTGTAAAATTCAAAGCCGTGAATCCCGTGTGTCTCCCTGTGTGGGCTGATGCCTCCGTAAACACATGAATATGAATGGGAAGGAGCAGGTGAATGGGCTGACAAACACAGTAACGGAGTGAGAACGTCTTCTTGTCCAGCTCCATGTACTCTCGGTGAGTACTGTGTCCTCGCAGTACAGTTCATGATTACTTTTTGTTTGTGGACAATTTTTCTCCTGTACCAGTCAGTCAGACGGGAAAAAAAGATGAAATCTGGACCATTGTGTGTGACAGTTAATTAGGATCCGACCCAATTACCAGATTGGTTCAGCGGCCATGTTGGCCTGGAGCCTAACGATGGGGAAATACATACGCTCCATATAAACGGCCCAATTTGGCTCTCAGAGTTTCTCAATTATAATATCACTGACTGTTGGCAGAGCCCAAACATGCTGCTGAGGCCCCCTGCTGGTCATGTGCTAAGGGGATGACTGCGGGATGTTGGGGGACCAAGGGAGGAGGGGGTTAATGTCATCGTATGTCCATGTGTATTAGTTTGAATCCAAACAGCTTTATTTAAAAAAAAACAAAACACAAGATGTTTGTTTAAAACTAAAACTCAACAAAAAACTCCATGTATGTCACTATTAACGTCCTTAATTTCCCAAAGGATTAATAAAGTTCTGTCTATCTATTATATGTTTATAGGAAGACGTAGGAAAATATCAGTACAGTGAAAATCTTCAGTTTCATCTATTTAAAAACAAAAGTACAATAATCTACCAAAACTATGATTTCCTCTTATTATGAACAACACAACTTAAAAACACTGTTCCTTAAGATCTGGTCATGTGACCTGTCACAGTAGTTTTTTTTCTCCTCCTTTCTTCCTCTCCTGATCCCGTATCAATGTCCTCAGTCATTGATCAGTTCTTGATTTTCTCCAATATTCCTGTTGTTGGTTCATGTTCTTGTTCTTTTCTTTCTCCTCTAGTGATTCCAAATGTAGATCCCTCTGTTCCAGAGTTAGGAACTGATGTTCAGATGGAACAGAGTCTGAGACTAGGATCACACTGGGGGTGGGGGGGGGCAGAGTCTGAGACTAGGATCACACTTACACCTCAATATATTGCGATGCTTATAGTATCGCAATATATTGTATTGTTCGCAATACATATCATATCGCCAGTTTCCTGCCAGTGCACAGGCCTAATATACAGTATATCCAGTGTAGGAATAAAAACGTGTTTTTTAAAAGTCATTTAATCGACTGATGACTTCTGATTTTATATCATTAAAAATAAACCTGGTCAAATGAGAAAATGTTAAGACAAGATCTGTCTTAACATTTTATTAAGTTTTTAAAATTGGAAACCAAGGACTTGTGCGATAATTACATCCAATTAAAGGAGTGCCAAGTCAAGCGACTCTACAGGCAGTGGCTAATACAAATTTAATTAGACAACTGTGTCAGTGCAACAATACTGAGCAGAACAAAGACGCCCACGTCTGGTAATGTTGGGTAAACATAAACCGAGCGTCCCGCTGTGAACTGACATGAGAGAAACAAACAGATAAAAACACAGGAGCCGTGACTCCTCCGTCAGCGTGTCTTTAATTTGGGGGGGACAGGTTTGTGTTTGTGTGTGAGTGTGTTTGAGTGAGTGTGTTTGAGTGAGTGTGTGTGCAGTTATTTTGCATGATGCAAATAAGAATGAAGTCAAAAGTACGAGGTTCTCAGAACCCTGGTTTGGATGAAAAGACAACAACAACAACAACATTATTTTATTTTCCACTCACTGCACTGGCAGAAGATTCCTGAGCAGAAAACTCCTGACGAGGTTCCGTCGTCACAGGTTCATCCTTGAAGTTTGTTGAAATTCCATGTCTTATAAAAACAAATGAAACGAAGGAAAAACATTTCACTCGACGGCCGACAACAGCAGGCACACTCCTTTGTATTTGTTTAACTGCCTCCCCCCTGTGACCCCCCCGACCAGTGGTGGTGATGGAGGGAAGTGTTTTTGTTTGTCATTAACACACATTAATTTTGTACTTTTCTTGGAGTCTGTGGTGGTGACCGGAGGACCTCGAAGGCATCGCCGCCTGGAGCTGTAACAACAGCGAAGTCGTACTTTTCTTATCTCTGACTCCCAGGTTTGTTCAAGTCGTCGCTTTAATTCAAATTTGAATCCCAACAGTCCAGGATGAAGTTGTTCAGATACAAAGATGAAGCCTCTCCTGTCGTGGTTAATGTGTAGGAGACTGTGAGAATAAATGTGGGTGTGAGAAGGTGAAGCAGGGGCTGCAGTAAGGAGGTGTAAAAGAGGGGGCGGGGGGGTGTTAGTTTGTCCCTTCTGTGATTGGCTGCTGCTCCAAGGCTCTCATTATGCAGCTTATTGTTCCTTTGTTGTGTGTGAAATATAAATCCAGCCCAGTGGGCCACAGCATGACAGTTTAGACCGAGCTGCTCCTGAGACCAGACTCCACTGAGCCCACTTCAAGAAAATCTGGACTTTGTTTGGCTGAGAACGTAGGAGAGAAGCAGGATCCAGTGGTCTCCGCTCCACGTCACATCAGTTCTCAGACTTTTCAGAGAAGTTCTTATCCCTCAGCTACGATGGACTCTGACGCCGGCTCCACCTGCAGCCGCTCGTCTTCCCCAGACCTGGTGGTGGACGACTCACCTGGAAGCTTCTTCTCCAACAAGATGTTCCAGACGTTCTGCCAAGAAAGCAGAGGGAGCGGCGGCGACAGCCACGGGAGAACAGAGCGCTGCATCGGTGGAGGAGAGACCAAGAGCAAGCCTGACCTCACCAAGGCCGAGGTGCAGGACATGAGGCTGAAGGTCAACAGCCGGGAGAGAAAACGGATGCACGATCTCAATCAGGCCATGGACGGCCTGCGGGAGGTCATGCCGTACGCTCACGGCCCGTCAGTTCGCAAGTTGTCCAAAATCTCCACCCTGCTGCTGGCCCGCAACTACATCCTGATGCTGTCCAGCTCTCTGGAGGAGATGAAGAAGCTGGTGGGAGATGTTTACGGAGGCGGTGCTGCCATCCAGAGCCGCAACGCTTCCCATTCCTCTGCACATGCCCCCACCGCCTCCCTGCCCCTCCACCCTCTGGCCCAGTCACTGCACTCTCTGGTGGGCAGCACCACGTCAACCCTGCAGCACCATCACTCACCTTCTCCAGCTGTGGCTCCGGCTCCACACTCCCCTCCTACTGCCAACTTCTTGGGCTTCCACGCTCCGGTTCAGGGCCTTCTGAAGGAGCCGCTCCACCTGACCAGCAGCTACAGGCACTTCCCTGGGATGCCCTGCCCCTGCTCACTCTGCCAGCCCCTGCCTACAACTACCTCCACGTTGCACAGCCTGGCTATGAACAAGTGAAGAAAGGCGCCCCCTGCTGTTGTGTCACCGTACAGTAATGACCCGGAGATGATTGTCTGACAAAGTACTACAGTACTGGCTGGTACCACAACTTGTACATATTGTATATATGCCGTCCCATGATGCCTGCTGCTCTGTCTCCTTGACTTTGTTTATAGAGAACTGTTCTGAATGGATCTGCTTTAGAACAACAGCTGTTATTTATCTGATGTTTGTGGAAATGAGAAATGTCAGCAAACAGAGCCGGTTTACCCTGGTGTGCAGAATTTATATTTTGGTAAATTAAATCATTTTTATAATAATAATAACTCTCGTCTGCCTTTTTATTCCATCATTTTGACCAAGGAAATATTTCTGCTGTGTTTTTGTCCCATTTTACTTTTAAAAAACATGACGTTTGTGTTTGTTCTTTTTTTTTTATAATAGCTGCAATTTGGAAGTATTTAAACACATTTAGTCACAATTACACATCAGCTGTTTAAGGAGCATGCAGCAACACACACACACACACACTTAACTCAACAGAAGGGCTTTCACTGAGGCAGAAAGGACGAGGGGGCCGTGCAGAAAGGCACGATTAGGAAAGGGTGTCAATGGCTGCTAAACAGCCTTGGACAGATGAAGCTATTAGGACTGAAGGGGGCAGAAGGGAGGGACAATACGGCAGAGCAGGAGCTGAATGTGCTGCTCTGGAGCCTGGGGACCATCCATCTTCACCTCAACAGGGTGTAGGAGATGAAAGGACGACACAGGCGCCAGGAGGACTCGTCACTTTTGTCTGACGCAGACACACCAACGTCCTTTAGTCCATGATACACATTTGTCAGTGTCCTAGTTAAGGTTAGTTAAGAACGTGGACACGGACGCACAAAACGACGAAAACTTAAGACTGAGAATAAAAAAAATCAAAATCAGGGAAAAGTTGTTTTTTTCTTACTGATGAAATGTGACATTTAACCTGCACAAATGAAAATATTAATTATGTGGAATTATAAAAAAATCTATCTATATTGTTATGAACTGGAATGTGTTGGACACATCGACAATGGCCGTCCTTCACTTAGCAACAAATCAAGCGTGTTAAATACATGCTTATCCTCCCGTGGCTGACAGATGAGCCGGAGATCAGAGGAGAAATGAAGAGATGTAACACTCATTCTCACCCACCTCCCTCCTCTCCTCCCTCCTGTTTTCCCCTGAAAGACCAGAATGCGTCGGAACAATGGCCGTGCTTGGGACACAAAGGCCGGGGGAGTCCACACTCTCGTGCCTGCAACACAGACCCTCTCTATTCAATCTACATTTCATCATGGTAACAAGCGCTGTCGGGCCAAAAGGCCTGACACCCTCGCTCGCCACAAAGGCGGTTAGCTCTAATATATGAGGCTATTGACACTGTAAAGAGCCCCCGTCAGCTCTGGGGGATTGTCAGCTGTGGGACGTCTCAGTGGGGGGAGGCAGCTGCCAGCCAAACCACGCAGCGGAGCTTCTGTCCTGGGGACCGGCGTGGCAGCGTCACCTGGTGCTTGGTCCCTTGACACCGAGCCCCGGGGTCCTCCCACAAGGCCCCTGCTTTATTTGGGCACAGGTGGATATGGGAAACACAACACATTGTGGACATTAGAGGGGATCAGCGTCCTTTTGCTTGAGGTAGATAATTAGAGACAGTGACTTGTGCAAAGCTGGTGTTTCCTGATTGGCAGCAGATGGCGTTAACCCACGACCCAGGACTTCAGCAGTCTGGAGCGTTGGTGGGAGTGATACGTGTGCTGTGTAATTCATATGCTTCTTAAATCATACAATATGGGCCGGTCCTCTGTGGGTCATTATGGTCTGCCACTGCTGTCATTGTGGTGCTCTTTAGCATACGCTAACCAGCGGTGTCAGCTCTGGTTTTTGGGAACATCATAGAGCTGAGATGAAGTCGAGGGAAAGCAGCGGTGAAGGAAGCAGTCAGAACACAGTTTCTGAAAATTATTTTTTTTATGAATTGTCTAAATACCTGTTTTTATTTTCTTTATAAAGGTATAAGATATTTTTTATAGCAGTCATCACATGACTCAAAGAGACTGTGAATTCAGACTGTGCCGGTGAACACAGATGGACTAGTTCAGCACTTCAGATACAGATCAGTGGGGGAATCATTGTCCCATCTTGGATCAGCACTGACAGAGTTCATCAGGAGACTGAAGGAGCCAATAAGAGATGGAGAAGACGTGTCGCAGGACGTGAACACATCAGAGGGATAAAGAGGAACTTCAATTATGAGAACATAACACAATTCAGGGGGCTTGATGCCTGTGAGCTCAGTAACACCCCCACCCCCAACCCTTCACTCCCATTCATCAGAATACTGATGAAGGAAGCACAGCTGCTGTGGTTCAACATGCACCGGCCCCTAGATGTACATGGATATTTCTCCGTTTTGTTTAAAATAATGATAATAATAATGAGTTATTGTTATCATTATAGTTATAATAATAATTGTTATTAACATCATTATATTATTATGATAACTATTAAAGATAACTATTAAAACTGTGAAGTAGTATATGTATGTACGTATATATAATATTTTTAATTAATTAATTAATTGTATATATTGTATATATATAAATAAAGAAATAATATATTTATTATTTTTTATTAATTCATTTTTTCTTCAGTTCAAATAAAGACCTCAATGCACGGTGTATACATTTATAAAATTATTACAGTGATACAGTGACTATAGTATATTTATATAGTGATTGTTTGTAGTTGTACTTCCGGTGTGGATCAAGTTTCAGAAAACAATTTCTCTTATCCTTCAGTTTTAAAGTGACTATGATGGTCTGTGTCGTCACAGATGTCGTGACGATGTGACCACGTGTGTACATTTGAGAGCCACGCAGCGGGTGAAGGTTCAGTAAATACTGATGATGTCATCGTGCGAAGATGGCGGAAGGGTGAGCGTGAACTCGCAGTTTTACTTTTAATTCGCCAACAAAACGCACCAGGGAGCTCAGACGTCGCGTTCACGTCGTGCTTCTTGTCATGTTGTCTGTCCGTTTTATTTCAAATCAACGTTTTAATGTGTATCCGCTGCTACATGCAGCGTCCGGAATCGGTCCAGGAAGTGCATTTGTTTACTAAAACACAGACGGGCTAGCGTTAGCTCAGTTTGTGTAGCCTCGTTTTAGAACGCAGCTATTGAGTCGTAGTTTTGTTTGATTTCAAAAGGAAGCAGTGACGTGATTGTTTAAGTAAAGCCCAGGTCACCTTGGTCACCAAGGATGTGCTTTTAGATCGATAGATAAATAGTAGATGACGTTGTTGAAACTCATTTAGCGCTAATCGTTCTGGTTGTTGTTGTTGTTGAAGTTCGCAGAGGTCGGCAGCAGTTGTGTCAGGTGCACTCGTCCTGGTGTTTAACTGGCCACTAAATCGATAGAACTGTTTGTTATTTTATTAAATATACGGCGTTCGTGACCTTCTGTCTTCTGCCCCGCTGTATCTGAACGGCCATGTCTGGATGTGTTCACAGAGAAAGCTGGTGGGGAGGCTGGATTCAGCAGAGCTACCAGGCCGTCAAAGAAAAGGTGAGCAGACCCACAGTCACAGAAATCAGTGCAGGTGTTCTCCATGTCAAATGCCTGATGGATATTTATTTTATTTCTTCATCGGAAGAACTGTTCTAACCTCATCTTAGAACACTGCCCTGAAGCTCAATAAAAAGTTCAGTGTTGCACTTGAACGACGTTAAAGAAGACGTTGACGTGACTGTTTTATATGGATGTCTTTAGTTCCTAATCTAATTAATGCCTCTAGTCCATGGGGACAGGTTGGAGACGGCTGGACTAGAACACCGCAGAATAGACATAATAGGACTCACAGTGTCTCACAGATGACATTCTAGAAGCTTCTTGAATTAACAGTAAAGTAAAAAGTGAAATGTAACAATAGAGTCCACACATTTAGACTAGAACCACACATCAATACATCTGTTCCACGGAACTGTAGTGAATTCTGTCCTCGGTTCACAGTGGATTCAATTGTGATCAACTTCTAATTCCATTTTTATAATTAACCTTAAAACGCTGTTTTCTTCCCCACAGTCGTCTGAGGCCATAGAATTTATAAAGCGAGACCTGACTGAGTTCTCCAATGTGGTGCAGCATGACACCGCCTGCTCCATCGTGGCGACAGCCACCGCTGTCAGGAACAAACTTGCCGTAAGTTGGAGACCTTGTTGTGGTCACTGATTTTCTCTAATACTCAAACTTTTTAACTTTCGGCCGTCAGTGCAGGAGGGAAAGTCTGTCAGAGCTTCATGTCTGTGCACCTTCTCAGGTGGAAGGCTCCTCGGATACGACGGAGAAGGTGAAGAAGAGCCTGTCTAGCTTTTTGGGAGTCATAACAGACACGTTGGCTCCGCCTCCTGATAAAACCATTGACTGTGATGTCATCACGTTGGTGGCCACACCTGCAGGAACCACGGAGGTTTACGACAGTTGTAAGGTGAGTTTATCGTAGAGTGGACGGAGAAGGGAACGTCACGACAGATGTGACCCCGGAGAACCTTTACTGTACTTGTCCCTGCAGGCACGGTTGTACAGTTTACAGGCTGATCCTGCAACGTACTGCAATGAGCCCGACGGTGAGTCTCGCTGCCGTACTTTGTCGTATTCTTCCTTTTATCAGTTTTTATGGGATGATTTGGTGAATTCACTTTAGGGTTGGATCGATAGAAGGCTGCATGACTATGGCCAAAAAAATATAAATAATCAATAGGGATGTCCGATATTATCGGCCTGATATTAGAATAATTGTGTAAATTCTGTAAAAAACGTTTTTCCTCCAATAATGAAAACCCAATAATACAATGCCTAGGTTACACCTAAAAATGGTTTTGGGGAAAAAACAGCTGTATGTGAAAGTGAAGGTCACTAGATGGCAGCATTGCACATCATTTTATTAATCTACTTTAATAATCAGTGGATTGTATTTTACAGATAAATAAATAAATATTATAATTAATTATAATATAATTATTATAATGTTATAATAGTAATTCAGTTTTGTCCCCCCCATGTCAGACAGTAATTTGGACACACTGCTTTAACCCATCACCTTAGTGAGCAGGCGTCATTTAACTTCCTTAACCACCAGGCCACCACTGCCCAGCTATATCGGTATTGGTTGATATTGGAATTGGAATTTAAGTGTTTGGACAGTATTGGACTATGGGATGTAAGTTAATATTGGACATCCCTACATAATCACAATTATTAGTCTTGATTGTTCTTTATTTAATTATATCTTATTAACCTATTTTTATTGCACTTCCTACATGCGAACAAGGCAGTTGTTGTTTTTTTAACCAGATTTGTTCTTTAAAGGACCGACGGAGCAGTTTGACTTCTGGATGTCCAGCTTCAGTTTGGAAGATAAAAAAGGAGAAATCTCTGAACTTCTGGTCAACAGCCCCTCTATACGAGCCCTTTACACCAAAATGGTAAGTGTTGATAGTTCTGGTCAAGTGAACTTGTTAACCAGTTCATGTCCTGATGTCAGTCCTGTTCTTTTCACCCACAGGTTCCAGCTGCTGTCTCCCACTCTGAGTTCTGGCAACGATATTTCTACAAAGTCTTCCAGTTGGACCAGGTAATCCTGCAGCACCACTGCAGACTGACCTCGGCTCAGCATGCTGTCTTTGCTGCCACCTACAGAGAAAGTTTGAACACCACAAGTAGTGTTGACATTGACAAACACTGATAACCTGGTGCTGTCTTATAGAATAATTCTCCCTGAGCTAAGGAACCACATCAGTGTACGATAGACTCCACTCACGATATGTATTTAAACCAAATGATCTCCAGACAATCTGTGACCAAATTCACTGATCCTTTCTTTGTCAGAACTGGGTTAAATCCCATCACCAACTGACATGGTCTGTGAACCTCACCATGGTCTGTGAACCAGAACTGGGTTAAATCCCATCACCAACTGACATGGTCTGTGAACCTCACCAACTGACATGGTCTGTGTCACTGATGCTGAGAGTGAAATGAATGAGGTTCTCACCTGCTGTGGAAACCTATATTGTCAGTGTTCACCATTTCAAATTAACTATGTCAACCATGTTACTCGGTTTATTACGTTTTTTTGTGACTTTTTTTTTTCAATTGTTAAAACTGTGATTGTGTTTTTTAGGAGGAGGCCCGAAGATTAGCTCTGAAGCAGAGAGCAGAACTGTTGCACACAGAGACTCTTGGTTGGGAAGAGGAAGAGGAAGGTCAGTGAGTCTGTGAATATCACCAGAACTTGAACCACATTTACGTCAGTGGTTCTGAACTGGTCCAGATTCACGACACATCATCACACAGTAACGACCAGCCGCGACGTGAACTTCTCAGACTGAACTCATCTGATCGAAAAGATGTTGTTCAAACCTGAGCTGAAGGTACCCCACTGTATACTGAGGTGCCGCTGTATACTGAGGTACCACTGTATACTGAGGTGCCACTGTATACTGAGGTGCCGCTGTATACTGAGGTACCACTGTATACTGAGGGGCCACTGTATACTGAGGTGCCACTGTAGAAAAATACAGTTTTTTTTGTAAAAGCAACAATTTGTGTGTCAAACTCCAGGCAGATTAGCGCCACCTGGAGTGTGAATATTTAAGACTTTTTTTCTCAACATTTTATGCCTTGGCAAAGGTCAGCGACCTGCTGAAAACTAGTCCACGAGCCACTTTTGGGTCGTGATCCCCAAGTTGAGAACCACTGATTTATTCAGTCACGCTTTTTGCTTAAATTTTTATTTAAAAACAAAAAAAAAATCAGCCTTATATTTGTTCTCTGTCAGACGACTTCCTCGGTGCGTCTTCATCGTCTCAGTTCAACGTGACCCCGCCCTCGGACAACACTTCCACACGCCCACCAATGAGCGCCACAACAGAAACGTCTCTGCTGACTCCCGTCCTGTCTCCAGGCGAAGAGCGTGATGCCACGCTGTCGGTTAGCAGCGATAGCGTTAGCCTGCCAACCCAGGTGGATATGCAGCCGCAGCCCGCCGTCACTGAGCTGGCCAATCAGTTTACAGCAGCGAGTTTGGAGGAGGAGTCCGACAAAGCAACACAGGCAGAGCAGAAGTCCGGAAAGTCTGACCTGACCCCTGACCTTGAAGTGACTGCAGTTAGCCCGACGGAGCCCTCTGCTGATAAGGCCCCGGTGAGACCCTCCGCTCCTAAACCAACGGCAGCAAAAGAAGACGGACCACAGGACCTGAGGGTGTTTGAGCTGAACTCTGACAGCGGGAAGTCGACTCCGTCCAACAATGGCAAAAAGGGTAGGATTCACTTTTCTTTACCGTCTGTGAATGTAGGAGAGAGTTGTAAACATCTGTCATTTCATCCTTGGATTACTATATATATATCTACCTGACACTGTTGTTGAATGAATACACTACACCTCAGAGACTAAGGGGTTAAACATTATGCACCCAACTTTTAAAAAAACAAAGGTTAAATTTAACGCAAAGATATAAATTAATGTACTTTTATTTTATTTTTTTTTTAATGAATGGTTAGAAATAACTGTGTAACAGTTGACACCTGGAACTGTTTTTACTGAGTTCTTGTTATTGTCATTGTGGCAGAAACTGGCAAAAGTTTTAGCATTTAAAAAAAAAAAAAGTTTTACGGCCAATTACGTGAAATTGGACATTTTTCCAGCAGATGGCACTGGTGTGCCACAGCCCTATGGTTGAGAGTCTGTCCTAAACTATGGTCCACCTTTCAGGGTCCAGCACGGACGTCAGTGAGGACTGGGAGAAGGACTTTGACCTGGACATGACAGAAGAAGAAGTCCAGATGGCGCTGTCAAAAATAGAAGACTCTGGAGAGGTTGGTGGTTAAAATCCCCAACCATGAAGTGGTGTTGATACTATGATGTCATTTTAATAATAATGAGAATAAAAAACCTCATTTGTTTTTATTCCAGCTGGACGAGGACTGGGAGAACTGGGACTGAAGTCTCCGCAGCACCGACCCTGTCCCGTCATCAAAGCTTGTCCTCAGCTGATGAACTACGCTTAACGTGTTTTAACTCTTTGTCCGCACTGTCACCATGTCATGATTGTGGGGAGGGGGATTGTTCTGGTGGGTTTGGACCATAATGGGAACCTGCTGTAAAGAGGCCACGGCAGCAGGAAGTCGGATGTTGGGCCAGGACTCTGGTCGCGGCTAGTTCTCAGAGTAACATAGAGCTTATGACACTAGTTAACAACGGAGCGTGTCATTCTTCAGGCCTTCACCCTGACCAGTCAGAATCTGGAAGGTTCCACAGCAGCGGGGGTGCAGCTGTTTTTTTTTTTTTTAACTGCCATCAAATGCATCATACGTGTTGCAGGTGAGTCTGATGAAGATTCCACGACGGCTGCACCGTAGCCATAAACTCTAATGTGCTGCTTCTACTTTTTTTTTTAGCTTTCTTGTCTTTTTTAAATGATGGTGAGTGATTCCTGTCATTTTTCTCCAAACTTTTTTTTCTTTAGTCTTTAGTTCACAAATGTCCCACAGTCCTTACTGTTGAAAGTTGTTCATACGTTAATGATACAAATCAACGCCTGTTTTTTTTCTTCTCTGTCGTGTCGTTTTAATCCCGGTGCAGGATTTTTTTTCCCCCAGACTTCAAATATTTGACGTCTGTAGTTTAGAGTTGAATTTTGTCTCTGTAAAATATCTCCACCTTTGAACTGGAAATTGTTTTTTCTGTCAGGTACACAACATCATGTTTGGATGTTGGCTGTAGTTCAGCGGTCACTTTGCCACTTAGACGGACGGGCAGTGTGAGCACGCTCCACGCTTTGATCATTTTCCTCCTCTGTTGTCTGCGATGTAGCTGAAAAGATAAAAAAGCTAACGCTAAAGGAGTGTAATATTTATACTAAAATAAATAAATGCTTAGTTATTGTAGATGCGTCGGGTTGCATGTCTGTGCAGCAACACCATCCAGGCCTGTGTGCAGACCGAGTCGTGTGCAGGATTTCTGTTCTATGTGTTGCATGTCTATACTTTTTCCTGCTGTTCGTCCTGGTCACAGCCACGCTTTTATCACTTCTGTTAAAAATGATTATAACAAGTTTTTTTGTTTTTTTTTTTAAAGAAAAGATCATTATTAAAGGATTCATGGCTAAAGAGGAAAAATGTTGGCGTGTGTCTGCGGCAGGTTACACCCTGACACGTTGTTGACAGCAGCACCGGGTGTTTAAATAACCATGGGAGACGATCACCCCTCCTGAGGTAAGACCTGATTAGGTGGTGGCGGTGAAATATATGGTGAAACAACAAAGTAAAACAAAACACGTTTTAAGTTGCAACATCGTGATTGTGTGCTGTGGACAGTTATGTTATCTTCCAGTAGATGGCAGCAGATGGCTGTAAGAACAAAAAAAGCTGTTGAAGCTCTATCAATTCCTGTGAGCATATCAGCGTTGTGTTCAACTAAAGTAGTCGTGCAGGAAAGCGTCTCAGCCGGAAATGGAATAAAATCAGAAAAAAAATTTAATATAAAAATATAGGCATTTCATATTTAACATTTAAGGACTAGAGCACTGGAATTTGACACCCAAAAACCCCAACATTTAGAAATATGTGCAATTACATAATAAAATATACATGTATAAATATTTTGTCTTTGTATCTGTAATTTATTGTTAATTTAACCCACAAACGGATTAATTCTTCAGTAATTCTTATTGTTGGGTAAAAATATTAATTAGCTTCACTGACCCTTTAGAGAGAAAACAAAAGGAATTTTTGACTCAACTCTTATTACTCTTATTTTCCCCAGAGTCCACAACAGGTAGAATTAAAATTTGTCACTAAGTTATGTGTGAGCATTTTTTTTTTACTTATAAGCAGTATTGGGCAAAGCAAAGACAGGTACCTGAACAGAGGTTTTAATTTATTGCACCCTGGTACAACTGTTCTCTTCTTACCAAAACTAAACATTTTAAGAATATGAAGTGCTTTTAACTCGCTGTGGTGTACATGAAATGAAGCAAACTTTTACAACTTAAGACAACTGGTGGACATACAGTACTCCAAGTATGTTCTTAAAAAGAAAAGAAAACAATTTAACAGAAAAACAGAAAAAAAAGGATGTACTGAAAACGTATACACAGGAACATATTTGTCCTACAAAGAAAGTTTCTTTTATACTAATGGACAGTTCACCCTTCTTGTGTCTAACAAATTCATATTTACTGTAAACAAATTCAAGTATAGAGATGAGTGCAGCACAAATTTAATTTTGACCTTCGGTCGCCCCCTTAAGGTAAGGCTGAGTACTGCCTGCCTCCCTTGCTGACTTTTCTCTGCACTTTCTTGTCCGATCGGCAGGAACAATTCTCTCGCACATACATTAAATACTTTACACAGACTGTAGAGAGTCATGCTGTAGAACAAATATTTCTGTTAAGTTCATATTGGTGATATGCTGAGGAATAGAAATGGCCACGCGTCATGTGACCCAGTTTATATTGGATATGAAGCACAGCTCTCCACTGCCTCATTTCTGCGCTGTATTTGATCGTGAAATACTCAAATTCGACAATTTTTACTTAATCTTTACTTAAAAATGTGTGGAGTCACACTGAAAATGTATCCTTAACACAGATCAGTGCAATATATATATAGATATTTATTTTGTGTACTTTTTTACTGCCTCCCCTGACCGCACGTCACTGGTTGACAACGTAGTAGAAGCGTCTGCCGTCAAGATTTGCTTAATTAAATTGGAGCTGTTTACACCGGACGTGGACAAACTCTTTGCTCTGGCGCATAATGTCCACCGAATATGTACATTTTTACCTTTTACCTCGACGAGGTTAAAGTAGTTCCTTCTTTGTGAACTAATCTTTCGCTTCGTTCTCGCAGATTCGTTTCATTTGTCACGTGACAGAGCTCGGGTCTTTTTTGCTCTCATTCATCTTCACATTGTGGTGTGTTTTTATTTCTTAGCTTTTCACATGGTTTTAATTACTTATGGCATTTTGTGTACTTTGTAGACTTTGTCTGCGGAAGCAAACCATGTTGCCTTATTTAGTGTCGGAGAACCGCAGCCTTCTTTACAACGCCCACAATAGGTCTAAAGCGCCACCTGCTGTAAAACGAATGAAATGATTAGTTCAAGATTCGTTCACGACTCGTTAATTTTACAGTTCGAGAGTCAAAGATTCGAATCAATAAAAAGAGTCGGTCTTCCCATCACTAGTACTTAATGAAATGACAACCTGGTGTAATTAGTTCCCTCTGACCCGCCCCCTGGTTTGACAGCACCATTCAGGTATGTCACGTATTTCCCGGATGTGGCTAAAGTAATGCTAACATACAGCTAATGATTTGTTTGTAGAACTACTTTACCTCAGAAACCTGTCACTCACCGTGTAGTGTAGACAGTAGTTGACTGGAGCCGGTGCTCGACGGCGGTTTACTGTTTTAATGGGTGAGTGAATTCACGCACAGATAAAAAACGAGATTTAAAACGCAAGTTTTTCCTTTAAAGACTTGTAAAATAAGTTTATTCGTTGCGACCATTGTTATACTTTTATTGTAAAAAATCATCGTAGTCTCACTCAGAAACTAATGAAATCCCTCCGCGCTTCTGACAGTTTGCCCGCCCTTTGGAAGTTAAAAAAAGAAACATCATTTGACCAAAAGTACAGAACAGGCGCAAATAACCGAACAATATAACATGTAATTAAATACAGTTTATGCCATCATTTAAGCTCACCTTAAGCTAAAATACCTTTTAGGTTATTATCAAAGATGTGTTTTTAAATACCATAAATTAAACTAGTTAACGTTTGTTGTTTGTTTTCTAGTTCCCACTGGTTAAATGTTGTTGAAACTCATTTTCATATTTGTCATTATTGAAGCTATAACTTCAACGTTAACGACCATAAATATTAGCATCTGTTAAAATCTTTGCACTTGGAAAGAATTTAGCATTGGGTTAAATATTTGCCCCCCCCCGCCCCTCCTTGTATATATCCATATCTTTCTCTATGAGATAGTAACAAAAGAAAGCAAAGCTGAACATACATATTTGTAAATCACACAGGTCTTTTTTTTTTGATAAAATGTAAAATCGAAAGAAAAAAAAATCAAATTTAATTTGAACCGTGTGCTTCTTCCAATATAAAGACGTCTATGATTTTGAAAAACTGTTACGGTAAACGAACGTTAAAACGATTTGTTTTTTATGTTATAACTGGAAAGCCAAAGTGAGAGCCCTGAGTGGTTTTATTTGAACAAAAATAACAGGATTGTTCCTGCTGTTTCAGCTTCAACACGAAGGATCATAAAATACCTAAAAAATAGCCCCACGCCGTGGACAAATGTGGTCAGGGCACCTGAGCGTTATTCTGAAAGTTCTGGACAGCGTTTTGACTTTCCTGGTTCCAGTGGAACTCTGATGAAATCTGCAAAGTTTTATTTACCAACATTTAAAGCTGGGCGATATGTTTTTGACTCTTTAAAAAATATTTTCCATAAATAAATGACATGATACAGATATGTGCATTCATGCCCAAAACGCTATGGCATATATATATACAATGTCCATTTTGCCTTTAATTTTACTCAGCTCATCAACTGACCTGGTCTGTGAACCTCATCAACTGACATTGTTCTCTTCAATGACAGAATAGTAAAAAGTCCAGTTTCTGTCCAGAAACACTGGAACATCACCATTGATCTGCTCTGATTCAAAGTCAAACTGGTCTTTTTTAAATGTCACACAGGGAGTAAAAGAACGTAGGACTTCTGGCAGCAGCAGCAGTAGTAACAGCAGCAACATCACCACCAGACCTGAAAGTTTCTCATCGGGACAAACACGTTCACAATGGCAGGAGTGAAAGGTACCGTAATTTCCGGACTATAAGTCGCTACTTTTTTCACACGCTTTTAACCCTGTGGCTTAAACAGTGATGCGAAAGTGCATACCGCTAGCGATCAATGACTTCTGGTAGGTTACCATGTGTTATAGACATACCAGTAGCGTATGTCTGTCTGTGAATGGCTGTGTGCGTATATGTGTGTGGGGCGCGTGCGAGAGAGAACAATAGCTAAAGTTAAGAGCAGTTGTCACCCTGTTCTGTTGAAGTGTCAGTTGTTTATACAGGAGCTGTTAAAACTCTGTTTATGTTCTGTTGTGATCGGTGTGGCTGATAATAAAGACCCCAACTTCCCTGTTTCTGTTTACCTCTGCTGCGGACAAGCACAAAATGATGGGAATTAGCCCTGGAGCTAACGTTAGCTTCGGCCCTGGAGCAGATCACTAAGACTCCAACTACAGTTGGGGCACAGAAGCAGGAAAGAGCTTATGTGTAACCAGCTGTATAACAGGCAGATAAAAGCATTTATTTAATTAAAAGTGAAAAATTTGGAAGTGACACTGCTAACTTAAGAGGTAATTATTAACAAGAAAATAATGTTCAACAGGTGTCTATAATACTCGTTTTTCATTAAGATGGTGTTTTTTTTAATGAAAGCTTACAGTGGTTCGTGTCATTTCTTCAGTTACGTTGTTAGTTGTAGTTTGAGCTTAAAGAAGTAAAGATGGCAGATAAAACAGCTACGTGGAAAAGGCGCGAATCCAGACCGAGCATATAGGGCTGCAGCAGTACAAACAACCAGAAGAGGGCGCCTGAGTACATAGAAAAAGTAAAGAAGAACAGCGTATTATTGTAAAGCACAACTGACATCTAAAACGAACATGAATAAATGTTCAAAACTACCGAGTGAGTATCTCCAAGAAATTGAATATATACTGTAACTGTTGTCTGAAGGAGAAATGACTAAAACTGAAGGATGAATAATTAAAGTGATAAAGTGAGTCCAGGTGACCGTTGTTCCCTCAGAAAGGAACAGAATCCTGGGTTTGTGTTGCAGTTAGCACCGCTATTAGCCATTCGTTGATATTGTAGTGCAGCGGTAGAATAAGACAGAGGCATTTTTTATTTTATTAGAAAGCGGTTTATTTCCATCTTAAGTCAGCACTGCTGTTGGCCACAGTTTACTCCAAACCACTCGGAGCAGAACTTGACCAGCTCTCTGTCACACACTTCTGTTAGCTGCCGGTTGGCTTCAACAACACGGAACAGAACACACTGCGCATGTGCACTACTTTATGGTGCGTTCAAGGCACAAAAACCGAAAGTAAAAGCAGAACATTATATCACAGCATAACTATTTATTCCCAAACCGTCACAATATAATATATATTAGTGTTAAATAGAAGAAAAAGTAGACGGCGAAGCCAACACGGTAGTTTTACGGTGTTACACCATGTCAGATCAAAGCGGAAGTAATCCTTGTTCATTTGGGTGTGGTTTGAAAAAAAAGTTTAAAATATAAAAAGAAAAAGCTAAGAAGAAAACACATTACTATTAAAATGAATAATTTTAATATTAATAGTAAGAATATTAAATATTTAATAGTAAGAATAAAGTGTTAAAAATACTCTCCCTCACTTCTTCTGTCTCTCGTCGTCTCCGAACTTGAACTGTCGTGAAAGTGAAAGTATTTCGAATGTTTTTTCGGGCTCCATTTTGACAGCGCAGAACGACGACAGGACAGAGGTGAGTTTTCAGTGAATTCAGATCCAATATGACAGAGCAGACCATCGTGTCACCATCAAAGTATAAAAGTGTTGATGTTTTATATCGTGATCATTCAGCTGTCAGTCTGTCTCCGTGTTTTACTCTCGATCACGGAAATTAACTGTCGATCAGACTCGAATGTGACGTCATCCTGATTAAACAATGAAATAATAAAGATTTTCTTTTTTGTGAGGTAACAGTCATTTTTTTATTCTCTCAGACTGACTTTTTTCACAAGATGAGTGTTTCTATGAAGAAAG